CCATCAATCAGTATTACCAACTCAACCTAAGAAAATTGGAGATTTTGACGTTTTCAACAATTTTTTTTTGATAACTCAATAATTATAACTGATGGAAGAAAATGTTTCGTACAAAAAAGGTTTAGAATGAACCCATAAAACATGTCAAATTAGTTATTTTAACCCATCGATCAGTTAGTACCAACCCAACACAAAAATAAAACTAAATTTTGGGGTTTTTGATCATTTTCGGATATAACTTATTAATTATGAATGATAGAGAATTATTTTTTAAACAAAAAAACGTTTAGAATTAACTTAAGTGTTGTAGTGAACAAAGATATTTACTCCATCAATCAGTATTACCAACTCAACCTAAGAAAATTGGAGATTTTGACGTTTTCAACAATTTTTGGTTATAACTTTAGTTTCTTAAGTTTCTTTTCATACAAAAAACATTTATAATTAATCCATAAAACATGTCAAATTAGTTATTTTAATCCATCGATCAATAGTACCAACCCAAAACGTAATAAATTAAAATTTTTGAAATATTTCCCCAATTTTTGTACATAACTTATTAATTATTGTCAAATTTTAGGTTTCTTTGGACGCTTTATTCCAACGATTCGGGTGCTTACATCGTAAAACCCGAATTCTTAGCCTCATTGCGCCTGGAAGGCAGCTTACCATCGGATGACACCAAAAATAACCTCTCATTATTCTCACCCGGACAAGATCGGGTTAGTTTCGAACAATTCCGATCGTGGATTTTAATCAAACACGACGCCACGGTCCTCTCAAAATGGCTTTTAGCCTCATCGTGCGTCACCCTAAGTTCGGAATTAGAGACCCCGACGTTTTATCAAACCCTCGCGGGCGTCACACATCTCGAAGAGCAAGACATTTGCGAGTTAGAAAAATGTTTTTGGTCGCTTCAAAGCGCCGCTACGTCCGGTCAATTAGATTCAACGTGTGTAACCGCTTTAATTAGCCCCCCGATTCCGGCGAGTGCGTGTCAAGGATTGTTTTTAGCTTTGGATGTTAACCGAGATGGTCACGTTGATTTTAAAGAGTTGTGTTGCGGGGTTTCCGCCGCTTGTAGAGGACCAACCGTTGAAAGAATGAAATGTAAATCGCTCAAACTTAATAATTACAAGATTAATAACTTAAATTTGTTGTTTTAGTTTGTTTTAAAGTCTTCGATATGGACCGAGATGGTTTCTTGAACCAATTTGAGCTCCAACACATGATTGAAGTGCTTTTATACGTAGCCAGGGAGAACGAAACCACCAAAATGAACACGATCGATCGAAATTATTTCAGGAAAAGTAACCGAAAAAACAGCAATAGCTCCATTAATACCCCGGAATCAACTCCATTTTCAAACGGGGAGGTGCTCAATGAGTTGTACGCGAAAAGTTTGAATTCGTTACGGGGTCAAATTAACCCAGAAGGGAACGTTTCGCAAGAAGATTTTTTAGTTTGGAGTAATGAAAACGTTACGAATCCTTTAGTTGACCCATTTTTGGAGCTCCTTTTTCAAGTTTGTCACGTTTCGCTTGGATTAAAACCTTTATGTAGACATCATGAACACGAAATAGGTTAAATTAATTTATTTGTTTTAATTATTAATTAAAAATTGAGGTTATGTTATTATTTCTTTTATAGTTAGAGGTTGGTTAGATCGTGAGGGACGCCGAGGATACCGCGTCGGCCAATTTTGGTATTTAATCTCGTCCGAGTGGTGGCAAATGTGGTTAAATTACACGACGGGACCTCGAAATAATTATGATTATTGTAATTGTCGCCCGGATAATCGGGTTCCGGTCGAGGAAGGAATCGTGTGCGACGAAAGCTTTCCCAGTAATGGAACTGATTTTACGTCGCATTCGAATGAGTTTAATTCTAATAGTACGGATTCGATGGGGGATTTGTTGAGTAAAGGAGATAGGTTAGAAATCAATGATTTAATTAAATTTGGTGTGTTTAAAAAAATTAAAATGTTTTTAATTTGACAGTTGTAGCATTGCTTCGAGTTCGGGAGTTTCGAGCAGTTCTGGAACGGGGATGAAGCGGGCCCAAAATGGGATGCCTGGGCCGATTAATAATTCGAATTTGGTGGTTGAGGTGGCCCAAACTAAAGTTGGAACTTTAACTGGAGAAGGTAAATGAATTATCCATCGATCAGTAGTACCAACCCAACGCAAAAATAAAACCAAATTTTGATGATTTTCGGTTATAACTTATTAATAAAATTATGAATGATGGAGAATTACGTTTTAAACAAAAAATGTTGGGAATTAACTCATAAGACGTATTTAATAAACATAATTGTTCCATCAATCAGGATTACCAACTTAACCTAAGAAAATTAGAAATTTTGACGTTTTCATTAATTTTCTTCTATAACTCATTAATTATACCTGATGGAAAAAAATGTTTCGTACAAAAAAGGTTTAGAATGAACCCATAAAACATATCCAATAAGTTATTTTAACCCATCGATCAGTTAGTACCAACCCAACCCAAAAATAAAACTAAATTTTGGGGTTTTTGATCATTTTCGGATATAACTTATTAATTATGAATGATGAAGAATTACTTTTTAAACAAAAAACGTTTAGAATTAACTCGTAAAGCGGATTGAACAAAGATATTTACTCCATCAATCAATATTACCAACCCAACCTAAGAAAAATAGAAATTTTGACATTTATCAACAATTTTCTTTTATAACTCTTTAATATTAACTGATTGGAAACAAATGTTTCATACAAAAAAGGTTTAAAATTAACCCATAAAACATATCCAATAAATTATTTTAATCCATCGATCAATAGTACCAACCCAACCCAAAAATCACAAAAAATTTTGATGTTTTTAACCATTTTCGGTTATAACTTATTAATTGTGAATGATAGAGAATTACTTTTTACACAAACAACCTTTAGAATTAACTCAAGTCTCATATTGAGCAAAGATATTTACTCCATCAATCAGTATCACCAACTCAACCTAAGAAAATTGGAGATTTTGACGTTTTCAACTTTTTTTTTGATAACTCAATAATTATAACTGATGGAAAAAATGTTTCGTATAAAAAAGGTTTAAAATGAACCCATAAAACATATCCAATAAGTTATTTTAACCCATCGATCAGTTAGTACCAACCCAACCCAAAAATACAACTAAATTTTGGGGTTTTTGATCATTTTCGGATATAACTTATTAATTATGAATGATAGAGAATTACTTTTTACACAAAAAACCTTTAGAATTAACTCAAGTCTCATATTGAGCAAAGATATTTACTCCATCAATCAGTATTACCAACTCAACCTAAGAAAATTGGAGATTTTGACGTTTTCAACATTTTTTTTTTGATAACTCAATGATTATAACTGATGGAAAAAAATGTTTCGTACAAAAAAGGTTTAGAATGAACCCATAAAACATATCCAATAAGTTATTTTAACCCATCGACCAGTTAGTGCCAACCCAACCCAAAAATAAAACTAAATTTTGGGGTTTTTGATCATTTTCGGATATAACTTATTAATTATGAATGATGAAGAATTAGTTTTTAAACAAAAAACGTTTAGAATTAACTCGTAAAACGTATTGAACAAAGATATTTACTCCATCAATCAGTATTACCAACCCAACCTATGACAAATAGAAACTTTGACATTTATCAACAATTTTCTTTTATAACTCTTTAATATTAACTGGTGGAAACAAATGTTTCATACAAAAAAGGTTTAAAATTAACCCATAAAACATATCCAATAAATTATTTTAATCCATCGATCAATAGTACCAACCCAACCCAAAAATCACAAAAAATTTTGATGTTTTTAACCATTTTCGGTTATAACTTATTAATTGTGAATGATAGAGAATTACTTTTTACACAAAAAACGTTTAGAATTAACTCAACTATCGCATTGAACAAAGATATTTACTCCATCAATCAGTATTACCAACTCAACCTAAAAAAATTGGGGATTTTGACGTTTTTAACAATTTTTTTTGATAACTAAATAATTATTACGGATAGAAAAAAATTTTCGTATAAAAAAGGTTTAGAATGAACCCATAAAACATGTCAAATTAGTTATTTTAACCCATCGATCAGTTAGTACCAACCCAACCCAAAAATAAAACTAAATTTTGGGGTTTTTGATCATTTTCGGATATAACTTATTAATTATGAATGATAGAGAGTTACTTTTTACACAAAAAACGTTTAGAATTAACTCAAGTATCATATGGAACAAAGATATTTACTCCATCAATCAGTATTACCAACTCAACCTAAGAAAATTGGAGATTTTGACGTTTTCAACAATTTTTTTTTGATAACTCAATAATTATAACTGATGGAAGAAAATGTTTCGTACAAAAAAGGTTTAGAATGAACCCATAAAACATGTCAAATTAGTTATTTTAACCCATCGATCAGTTAGTACCAACCCAACCCAAAAATAAAACTAAATTTTGGGGTTTTTGATCATTTTCGGGTATAACTTATTAATTATGAATGATAGAGAATTACTTTTTAAACAAAAAATGTTTAGAATTAACTCAAGTATCGTATCGAACAAAAATATTTACTCCATCAATCAGTATTACCAACTCAATCTAAGAAAATTGGAGATTTTGACGTTTTCAACAATTTTTTTTTCATAACTCAATAATTATAAATGATTGATAAAGATGTTTCGTACAAAAGAGGTTTAGAATGAACCCATAAAACGTCCAATTAGTTATTTTAACTCATCGATCAGTTAGTACCAACCCAACACAAAAATAAAACTAAATTTTGGTGTTTTTGATCATTTTCGGATATAACTTATTAATTGTGAATGATAGAGAATAACTTTTTAAACAAAAAACGTTTAGAATTAACTCATAAAACGTACTGACTAAAGATATTTGTTCTATCAATCAGTATCGCCAACCCAACCTAAGAAAAATAGAAATTTAGACGTTTTCAACAATTTCCTTTTATAACTCAATGATTATAGCTGATGGAAAAAAATGTTTCGTACAAAAAAGGTTTAGAATTAACCCATAAAACAGATCCAATAAGTTATTTTAATCCATCGATCAGTTAGTACCAATCCAACCCAAAAATAAAACCAAATTTTGAGGTTTGTAACAATTTTAGGTTATAACTTATTAATAATGATTGATGGAGAATCACTTTTTACTCAAAAAATGTTTAGAATGAACTCATAAAATGTATTGAATAAAGATATTTACTCCATCAATCAGCATTACCAACCCAACTTAAAAAAAATAGAAATTTTGACGTTTCCATCAATTTACTTCTATAACTCAATAATTATAACTGATAGAAAAAAANAAACGGTACTATCAACCCAACTTGAGAAAAATTGAAATTTTAACGTTTTCGTCCATTTTTTTTCTATAACTCAATAATTATAACTGATAGAAAAAAATATTTAATACAAAAAAGGTTTAGAATGAACCCATAAAACATATCCAGTATGTTATTTTAATCCATCGGTCAGTAGTACCAACCCAACTCAAAAATAAAACCAAATTTTGACGTTTTTGATAATTTTCGGTTATAACTTATTAATAATGAATGATGGAGAATTACTTTTTAAACAAAAAACGTTTATAATTGACTCATAAAACGTATTGAATCAAGATATTTAGTCCATCAATCGGTATTACCAACCCAACTTAAGAAAAGTTTAAATTTTGACGTTTCCATCATTTACTTCTATAACTCATTAGTTATAAGTTTTCGAAAAAAACTTTTCATGCAAAAAAGGTTTACATTTAACCCATAAAACATATGCATTAAGTTATTTTAATCCACCGATCAGTAGTACCAACCCAACTCGAAAATACAACTAAATTTTGAGGTTTTTGATCATTTTCGGATGCAAGTTATTATTTATGATTGATGGAGAATTACTGTTTAAACAAAAAATGTTTAGAATGAGCTAGTAAAACGTATTGAGTAAAGATATTTACCCCAAACCATCAATATAGCCAACCCTACCTAAGAAAAGACCTAGAAAATTTGAGATTTTCTTCCATTTTTTTATAATTTATTAATTATAATATACGGAAAAAAACGTTCCATACAAAAAAGGCTTAGAATGAACCCATAAAACATGTCCAATATGTTGTTTTAAACCATCGATCAGTAGTACCAATCTAACCCAAAAATAAAGCCGAATTTTGAGGTTTTTGACACTTTTTGGTTATAACTTATTAATTATAAATGATGGAGGATTACTTTTTAAACAAAAAATGTTTAGAATTAGCTCATAAAACGTATCGAATAAAGATATTTACTCCATGAACAGTATTACCAACCCAACCCAAAAATAACACAAAATTTCAATGTTTTTTTATCATTTTCTGTTATAATTTATTAATTATGCTTTATTTTATAAACAAAAAATGATGCGAATTAACTCATAAAGCGTATTTAATAAACATATTTGTTCCAATTTTAATCCATCGATCAATATTACCAACTTAACCAAATTTTTAAAATTTATTTTTAAACATTTTTTATTGTTTTAGGTGGCCGTTTACGTAGAGACACAACACTAAGTCAAGGAAACGATTTCGAACTCGTCCCGGAATCTCTTTGGAAAGCCCTCCAACTCTGGTACGGGTGTTCTCTCCCCCTCCCGCGGCAAGTAATCAAACCCCCAAACTCCCCGGACGTCGAACTCGAACTTTACCCATTAAATTTACGAATACTCCAACATCACAATCAATCCTCATCAACATCCGGTTCTCCAGCGACTTGGAATAGCATCGTCGGGGGTTACGGTGCTGCCGCTTTAAGTACAGCGGGAATTACGAGCACCCCAGTGGCTCCCCCAAGGCGATATCTCGCCCATACAGCCGCTTTCTCCCGATTATCAAACGTCAGGCAGGTTATTGAATTTTTAGGCGCACGCTTATTATTTCGAACGGAAGATATCCGATTATGGCACGTTAAGGAGGGATCAACGATACTTTTAGAAGACGAAACATCGACGTTACAAGATTTGGGAATCGGAGATAACGAACAAATCCTTTTGGAGGTTCGAAATAAAGATTTAACATGGCCCGAAGAGTTAGGCGCGTTGGTTAGTGGCAACACAGCCGTTCAATCACTAATTTCATCCGAACGGAGACCCACGATAACACTCCCACCCGGCGCTACGGGTTTACACAACTTAGGAAACACGTGTTTTATGAATGCTGCGTTACAAGCCGTATCAAACACGCGCCCATTAACGTTATATTTCCAAAGAGATCTGCAACTTTGCGAGTTAAACTCGGTGAATCCCCTCGGAACTAAAGGACAAGTCGCGAAGAGATACGCCGAGTTGTGCAGGGATTTATGGGCGGGCTCAACTCGCAGCGTGGCCCCTTTAAAATTAAGATATTGCGTAACTAAACATGCTCCGCATTTGGGTGGAGGGGGACAACACGATTCTCAAGAATTATTAGCTTGGTTGTTGGATTCGTTGCATGAGGATTTAAATCGCGTCCCAAAAAAGCAATATTCCGAGTTGAGGGATTCTGATGGAAGACCTGATGAGGTTGTGGCACAAGAAGCTTGGAGCCAACATTTAGCGCGGGATCATTCTATAATTACCGATTTATTTTATGGGCAATTAAAGAGTAAGGTTAGTTTAAAAAAAAATAGAATTAACTCGTAAACCGTATTGAATGAAATCAGGATTACCAACCCAATCTAAGAAAAACAGAAACTTAAAAATAATTTTGTAATGTTTTATACAAAAAGGTTTTATACAAATAAGTTATTTTAATCCACCAATCAATAGTACCAACCCAAACCAAAAATAACACCAAATTTTGATGTTTTTAACGATTTTTGGTTATAACTTATTAATTATGAATGATGGAGAATTAATTTTTAAAGAAAAAACGTTTAGAATTAACTCATAAAACGTACTGAATAAAGATATTTACTCCATCAATCAGTATTACCAACCCAATTTAAGAAATATTGAAATTTTGACGTTTCTCAACAATTTTCTTTTATAACTCAATAATTATGAGCGATGGAATAAAATGTTTCATACAAAAAAGGTTTAGAATTAACCCCTATAACATATCAAATAAGTTATTTTAATCCATCGATTAATAGTACCAACCCAAACCAAAAATAACACCAAATTTTGATGTTTTTAACGATTTTCGGTTATAACTTATTAATTATGAATGATGGAGAATTACTTTTTAAAGAAAAAACGTTTAGAATTAACTCATAAAACGTATTGAATATAGATATTTTCTCCATCAATCAGTATTACCAACCCAACTTATGATAAATAGAAATTTNTTTATTCCATCAATCAGTATTACCAACCCAATTTAAAAAAATATTGAAATTTTGACGTTTTCATCAATTTTCTCCTATACCTTGTTAATTATAACTAATGGAAAAAGAATTTTTGTGCAAGTTATCAATTAAGATTATCAATAAGATTGATTTAATTTTTTTTTTAGGTTACCTGTCAAACTTGTGGGCATGAATCAGTGAGGTTCGATCCGTTTAATTTGCTTAGTTTGCCTTTACCAATGGAGAGTTACACGTTATGCGAAGTTTTGGGTAAATTAATTTTAATAAAATCAAAATAAATGTTAACATTATTGTTTTTAGTGATAAGACTAACGGGGGAAGTCCCAATTAAGTACGGGATGCGTTTAAATTCCGAAGCGAAATACCTCGAACTGAAAGAACAATTAGAAAACCTCTGCGAGATCCCCCCAAATCGGATTTTATTGGCCGAGGTGGCTTACTCGCAAATTAAACAGTTCCTTAACGACGAAGCCCGAATTAACCCGAGTACGGCGACCGAATTATACGCGTACGAGTTACCCCGGTGCGGAAAAGACGACCATCTCGCTAAAATCGAGGATGACGCGGGTAAATTTATTTTTAATTCGTTTTTAGTTGCTTCTTTTTTACTCACCTAACCCAAATTTTATTTTTTGTTTCTGTCTCCGTTTCTGTTACCGTTTGTTGGGCGCAGATCTCGACCAGGCTCTCGTGCAGACACCTCTGGCCCGGAGCCCCGAGGTAAGGAGTTCAGCGCTATGCATGTCCAACATTTTATGCTTTAAGGTATGCACGTTAAGAATTAGATGTATCAAAAAATACAACTTTGTGCGATTTTATTCAAATTTGAGTCAATTATTTTATATTGATGTTGCCACGTATTAAACCCCGAGTAAAATGAGCCCAAAAACGATTTCGTATCATCAAAAATAACCGAGATATCGCTACTTCCGGTTAAGCACTTCCGGTTAATTAATTTTTTTGATAATATCGTATTAATCCTCATTTTACGCTGATTAATTTGATACCAAACTCGCTATATTTTGATTGTGATATTGAAATTTACCAACCGGAAATGAATAACCGGAAGTTGCAATATCTCGGTTATTTTTGATGGTACAACATCGTTTTTGGGCTCATTTTAAAGGGTGTTGATTACGGAAAAAGGGTTAAAATGTTTTTGTAGTTTGCACAAAAAAAAATAATTATTACTAACCGGAAATAGAGTTATTTTTCGTTGTATTGTGTGTAGATTTTTTTTTGTAAATAAAGAAATATGTACATATATATAAATAATCTTATTTACATTAATATTTTTAATTAAATTAATTCTTTTTTAGAATCTCAGTTTAAGAGCTTGCGACACCGAAACAATTGTGAAATCAACGCGACTTCCGGCGGGGATCTCTTTGCAATCGCCGCCGAAACGCGTTTCCGTGCATTCTGTGGCGCCATCTGTGTACACGGATGACCCGGTGAAGAGCCCGACTTACTTGGTTGCGGTGCACCGGAAGTGCGTGCGTCAGGAGACATATTTTTTGTCGCAGCACAAATCGAAGCCGAGTTTGTTTGGAGTTCCGTTGCTGTTGGGTTGCAACTCCAACAGCACCTGTCAAAACTTGTATGAGATCGTTTGGAATCAAGTGACGCGGTTGTTGAGTCCGTTACCTCAAAGCGATCAAACGAATCATGCTACGGATTGGTGAGAAACTTATTAATTAAGATGTCAAAAAGCGTCCAAAACCTTTTTAAGAATTTCCACAGTTGTCTAAACGTGTTTTAGACATTTATAAAGACTTCCAGAGGATTTTTAAAGATGTCAAAAAGTGTCCAGAACCTTTATTACGATCTAGATAATTGTTAAAAAGTGTTTAAATGTTTTCTGGGCATCTAAAAAGATTTTTGAAGATGTCCAAAAAGTGTCTAGAAGCTTTTTAATGATTTTGATAGACCCAAATAGTGATTAAACACTTTCTGGGCAGTTATAAAGATTTCCAGAAGTTTTTAAAAGATGTCAAAAAGTGTCCAAAAGCTTTCTAATGAACTATATAATTATTAAAAAGTATCTTAAGGTTTTCTGGACAGTTATAAAGACTTCTAGAAGATTTTTCAAGGTTCCCAAAAGTGTCCAAAAGCTTTTTAATGATTACTGTAATTATCAACTTATGTCTAAACATTTTCTGGGCAGCTATAAAGATTTCCAGAGGGTTTTTGAAGATGTCCAAAACGGTCTCGGAGCTTTTTCATAATTCCCATAGATACCAAATAGTGTCTAAACGCTTTTTGAGCAGTTATGAAGGTTGCCAGAAGGTCTTAATCAACTGTATATTTATTAAAAAGTATGTTAACGTTTCTGGACAACTGTAAAGATTTTTAAAGAATCCCAAAAGTGTCCAGAATCATTTTAATAATTTCCGTAATTATCAAATAATGTCTAAACGCTTTCTGGGCAGTGATAACGATTGTCATAAGATTTAAAAGATGTCCAGAAGTGTCTAGAAACTATCTAATGAACTATATAATTATTAAAAACCATCTAATCGATGTCTGGACAATTATAAAGTTTGTCATAGGGCTTTTAAAGACGTCAAAAAGTCTCTAGAAGATTTTTTAATGATATCCCAAGTTAACCAGGCATTTCTAAGGAGGCCCATAATTATTAAAATGTGTCTAAACACTTTCAGGACAGTAACAAAGTTTATCTAAAGTTTCTTAAAGTCGTCAAAAAGTATTTAAGCGCTTTCTAGATATTTATGAAGACATACAGAGGGTTTTTAAAGATGTCAAAAAGCGTAGAGACGCTATCTAATGAGTGCCATGATTATCAAAAGGTGTCTAAAAACTTTCTGGACAATTCTCGAAGCTCTCTAATGATTTCTATAGTCGTGAAAAAGTGTCCTGAAGCTTTTTAATGATTATTATAGTCGTTAAACAGAATCCACAAGGATTCTAATAATGTTAGAAAGCGTCCTAAAGCTTTCTAATGATCGCCATGGATATCAAAAGGTGTCTAAATGCTTTCTGGACAATTATAAATATTCCTAGGAGATTTTAAAAGATGTCTAAAAGTGTCTAGAAAGTTTCTAGTGATTAATATAGTCGTCAAAAAGTGCCCAGAAGGTGTTTAATGATATCTATAATCGTCAAAAAGTGCTCAGGAGGTGTCTAATGATATCTGTAATAGTCAAAATATGTCCAGAAAGTGTCTAATGATCTCTATAGTAGTCAAAAACTGTTTAGAAGCTATCTAATGTTATTAATAGTTGTTAAAAAAATGTTTTTTAGGATTTTTGTTGCTGTCAAAAAGTGTCCAGAAGCTTTCTAATTATTTCTATAGTTGTCAAAAAGTGTCCAGAAGGTGCCTAATGGTATCTATAATCGTCCAAGAGTATCCAGAAGGTTTCTACTGATCTCTATAGTAGTCACAAACTGTCTAGAAGCTTTTTAATGGTATCAATAATTATCAAAAAGTGTTTAAACGCCTCCTGGACATTTATTTTTATTGATGGAGGATTTTTCTTAACACCAAAAAGTATCAGAATGCTTTTTGGACATTAATTAAGATTCCATAATCATCAAAAAGTGTCTAAACGCTTTCTGGACAGGTATAAAGTTTGTCTAAAGTCGTCAAAATGCATTTAAACGCTTTCTGGACATTTATGAAGACATCCAGAGAGTTTTTAAAGATGTCAAAAAGTATTCAGGCGCTATCTAATGATTGCCATGATTATTAAAAAGTGTCTAAAACCTTTCTGGACAATTCTAGAAGTTTGTAATGATTTATATAGTTGCGAAAAAGTGTCCTGACGCTTGTTAATGATTTTTATAGAGGTTAAAAATTGTCCTGAAACTTTCTAATGATTGTCATGAATATCAAAAAGTATCTAAACGCTTTCTGGATAATTATAAAAATTGCCAGAGGATTTTAAAAGATGTCCAAAAGTGTCTAGATAGTTTCTAATGATTCCTATAGTTGGCAAAAAGTGCCTAGAAGCTTTCTAATTATTTCTATAGTTGTCAAAAAGTGTCCAGAAGGTGCCTAATGGTATCTATAATCGTCCAAGAGTGTCCAGAAGGTTTCTACTGATCTCTATAGTAGTCACAAACTGTTTAGAAGCTTTCTAATGGTATCAATAATTGTCAAAAGGTGTCTAAACGCCTCCTGGACATTTATTTTTATTGATAGATTATTTTTCTTAACACCAAAAAGTATCCGAATGCGTTTTAGACATTAATTAAGATTCCTAGGGGATTCTAAAGATGTAAAAAAATGTCCAGAAGCTCGCTAATGATTTCCATAATCATCAAAAAGTGTCTAAACGCTTTCTGGACATTTATAAACATTTTCAGAGCAATCTTATCCAAAATTTACTCATTTTGGTTGTTTACACGGTTTAAATGTGATTTGACAGTCTCGAAATTTAGTTAAACAATAAGAAAAACATTATTTACAAGGTTATCTTTGACGTTTTCATAAAATGATTGTCAAAAACAATTTGAGACATAAACAACACTTTTTGAGTAAATAAATTGATTAAATCAAGAGTAATATTAATATATAATTTAATTGATTAATTATTTTATTTACATAAATTTATCAAAAAAAAATTAAGTTGGTAGTATGGAAAAAAAATTAAGTTGGTATCATTGAAATTAACTTGTCACATTGACGTTTCGCTATTCTGACAATTTTTTAAATTTATTTTAATTAATTTCTGTTTTAGTGACGATTCATTAGGATACGAATTTCCATTTACACTAAAAGCAATATTACAAGGTGGTCAAATCTGCGCTTTATGCCATTGGACGCAATTTTGCCGAGGATGCAAAATCCCTTGCAGCGAAGAATCCCTCTTCGATTTCTGCCAAGGTGGCCAAAACGTGATGTGCATCGCGATCGATTGGGACCCCACAGCTCTTCACCTCCGCTACCAAAGCAGTCGAGAGCGAATCCTCATCGAACACGAATCCGTCTCAACTTGTCGCAAATTACACACGGAACCCATCGATTTAGATTACTGTTTACGCGCTTTCACCAGCGAGGAACGCTTAGAAACGAAATATCACTGCTCGAAATGTCAAGATAAACAACCCGCGACGAAAAAGTTACAAATTTGGAGATTACCCCCTATTTTAATCGTACATTTAAAACGATTCGATTACGTCAACAACAAGTGGGTGAAAACGCAAAAAGTGGTGAATTTTCCGTTTAAAAATTTCGACCCCACCGCTTATTTAGCGTCGATCCCGCAAGAAACGATTTTGAGGCACCAATCGTTGATGGAGAAGAAGAGGAATTTGGAGAATTCGTGCGAAGAGAAGATCGACGAGGAGGAAGTTGAGAAATTAGTCGATGTCGATGAAGTCGATTTCAAAAGTGTTAAAGTTAGGAAGGAGAGAGTTGCCCCGAAAAAGCGGGAACGATTGGAATCGACGAGTTTGATTAAAACCCCGGTTGTTGACGAGGATTTAAAGGATTTCCACGAGCATAAATTAATTAAGGGGCAAGATTTGTTCGATTTGAAGTATCAATTATACGCTGTTGTTGTAAGTTAATTAATTAATATTAAGATATTTATAATCTTCATTAAAAATGCTTTAAAATGAGTACAAACACGACATATTTATCTTCAATATTAATGAAGTTATGATCAACTTCCGGTTAGAAATGTCAACGTCAATTTTGACATATTTGTAATCGGCGTGAAAAATCCTTTAAAATGAGCCCAAACATGATACATTTATCTCGAAAAACAAGAAAGTTATAACAAAAAAATTATTTAAGTTGGCAACATTGAAATAGCAACATAATTTTTAAATATTAATACCAACCTCAATTTTTCTTTTTTTTTTATTGTATTTTTGTTTTTGTGATAAATTTTAAAACATTTTATAAATATTAAGAATATGTCAAAATGACATTGACATTTCAAACCGGAAGTTGCTTATATCTCGAGTAATATTGGAATTAAACGTATCATGTTGGGGCTTATTTTAAAGGATTTTTAATGAAGATTATAAATATGTCAAAATTGACGTTGACATTTCTAACCGGAAGTTGATCATAACTTCATTAATATTAAAGATAAATATGTCGTGTTTGTACTCATTTTAAAGGATTTTTAATGATGATTACAAATATGTCAAAATTGAGGTTGACATTTTAATTTTGAAGTTAGTTATCATATAATAGACAAATGGACAACTTCGTGGTGTCCTTTCATGATGTATTCTTTATTGCAAAATTACTAAAAAGTGTCTAAAAGCTTTTTGGACAGTTATAAAGTTTGTCTAAAGTTTTTTAGAGTCGTCAAAACGTATTTAAACGCTTCCTGGACATTTATGAAGACAACGATAGGGTTTTTAAAGATGTCAAAAAGTGTCCAGGCGCTATCTAATGATTGCTGTGTTTATCAAAATGTGTCTAAAAGCTTTCTGGACAATTTTAGAAGCTCTCTAATGATTTCTTTAGTCGTGAAAAAGTGTCCAAAAGCTTCCTAATGATTACTATAGTTGTCAAAATATGTCTAGAAGGCTACTATCGATTTCTACAGTCTTTGGAAAGTGTACCGAAGCTTTTTAATGNTAATTATAACTGATGGAAAAAAATGTTTCGTACAAAAAAGGTTTAGAATGAACCCATAAAACATATCCAATAAGTTATTTTAACCCATCGATCAGTTAGTACCAACCCAACCCAAAAATAAAACTAAATTTTGGGGTTTTTAATCATTTTCGGATATAACTTATTAATTATGAATGATGAAGAATTACTTTTTAAACAAAAAACGTTTAGAATTAACTCGTAAAACGCATTGAACAAAGATATTTACTCCATCAATCAATATTACCAACCCAACCTATGAACAATAGTAATTTTGACATTTATCAACAATTTTCTTTTATAACTCTTTAATATTAACTGATGGAAACAAATGTTTCATACAAAAAAGGTTTAAAATTAACCCATCAAACATATCCAATAAGTTATTTTAATCCATCGATCAATAGTACCAACCCAACCCAAAAATAACACCAAATTTTGATGTTTTTAACCACTTTCGGTTATAACTTATTAATTATGAATGATAGAGAATTACTTTTTACACAAAAAACCTTTAGAATTAACTCAAGTCTCATATTGAGCAAAGATATTTACTCCATCAATCAGTATTACCAACTCAACCTAAGAAAATTGGAGATTTTGACGTTTTCAACATTTTTTTTTTGATAACTCAATAATTATAACTGATGGAAAAAAATGTTTCGTACAAAAAAGGTTTAGAATGAACCCATAAAACATACGCAATAAGTTA